ATGTACAAGCTGCTCTTGTTGCTAATCGCTCTAATTAAGAGTCGTTATATCGACTTTTAAGGATTAACATTCAAAACTTCATGAATTCTTGCACGACCCGTTGACCCGAGTTATAACCCGGGTTAACCTGACCCGTCCGGGTCGGTATTTTCTGACCCGGGTAAGAGCTCTATGTAATGATTTAGTTGGTGAGTAGTATAACTAAACTTATCTATTAGCTAATCTATTTATTCAATGAATGCTAAGATTTTTTTTTTTACTAATTGGTCTATTTAGAGAAGCTAATCGAATCTATAGCACTTACTATTACACCGTATCTTGTATATTTTAATTTTAATTTAAATGTGAATGTCACATAGTGCTTTAAAATTTATCTTTTGTCAATAGCCAATCAGCTATTTTTTATATCATGTGATCTAAATTTTAAGCGACTTTTCTTATTAAATTCAGTATAATAAAAAAATTCGGTAAAATCAAATATATTTTGTTATATTCATAATATATTTTCAGTTCGCTATTCGTTATGGTAAGACTTATTATAAAAAATTCATTATATTTAATTATTCTATTTATAAAAATTAAAATTAATTAAATAATTCGTTATAGGACAAAATTCATAATATAAAAATTCGTTATGTCAAGCTTTAACTGTACGTAAAATCCCAAGTTGAAGTACTTTTCAATTTTTATTATTATACTAATTTTTTAGAATCTCTAAGTTTTGTTTTTACTTACAACATACATTTTAATTATTATATTCTTAAAAATATAACAACTTTACATTAAGGTATTTATACTAAAAAAGGATTCATAGACATAAGGCTGGCAAATAAGAAAGGCACAGAATATGAGATGAATAAGATCGTAGAATGGTTGAGGACAAAATTATGTGTACCAACAGCCTCACAAAGTTTGTCAATAAATGAAGCAAGTGATATTCAACCTTGGAAGTGATTGAATCTGAGGTTGATAGGTGACAAAAGAAGAGATGTATTCTGGCGGTTTCAACATAAGGCTATAGCTGGTAGTAGAATTTATTTGGCAAATTAATATTGTTATGGCATGTGCCGTATTATTTACTGTAATTTCTTTGGGCTGTAATGCCGTAACCATAATGCTGTAATGCTGTAACCACGTTGTTAGTCAATCAAATTGAGAATTTACTGTGACAAAGTTGGTGTGATAGCTAGGTCTTTTGGTAAGATATGGATTTGTGGCATTACAGCATTACAATTATAAAAGACTAGCAATACCAGTCAAAAAAATTTCGCACATTATGTGATCCCAGTAAAAAAATTTCGCTAGAAAAATTTTTGCTATTGGTTTAGGGTTAGGGTGTTACTAGTAGGTTGGTTTAGTGGGTTATAATTATGCCAAAATTTTGCAAGCAAAACTTTTTGTTAGTATGCAGAAGGTAGTTTCATAAGCAAAATTTTGAGTTATGAATAGTTTTTGGATTGTTTTTGTTTTTTTGCATTATTTTTACTTTACGCCTGATTTCGAAATTTGATTGTTGTTTCGTCATTTTATGTGATCTGTGAACTTTTTTGACTAGCGTTTTAGGGGTTATTTTACAGTTATCGAATTATGGCTACATCATTACAGCTACGGCATTACGGTTACGACATTATGGTTATGGCATTACGGCATTATGACGTATAATATTTACGGCAATCAGGTACTGTGGTAAAATTAATTCTACTACATGGTAGAATGCCATAATGCTGTAAGTCAGTATTTCTACCACCAACTATACATAAGGCACTACTGCTTGGGTTCAAATTAAGGCACTTTGCTGAAGGCAGAAATAATGCATGTCTAGAATGACTAGAAGAGCTGCAAACACAGGAAATTTTGGTTTAGAGTGTAGAAGAAGTAAAGAAATTTGGAAATTGCTTACGACTTTTTAGAAGGTAGGGAGAAGGCACTACCAACAACAATGGATGAAATTTTTACTGCAAAAAACATTGTAGACAAGAAATATAGGGACACAGCGATATGGTTGCACATGGTAGCTATATGCGAAATCTGGTGCTGTTTTGCGTAAAGAAAATGGGTGGTGAACATGTTCCATACCCATACTCTCTTATGTAGTCAAAAACTAGAATTTATAAAGAGATTAAGGTGTTAGAGAGGACGGCAAATAATAGAAGTAAAGTTAAAAAAAGCAATACTTAAAGGGTTAACAATAGTTAATACAAATTTGTAAATAATTTTTATACATATATAGTAATAATTTAGTCATCCCTACCTTGTACATAAACAGCAATTAATAATAGAATTCATGTAATCTAATTAAATAAAGAACACCAATTGGAATCCCTATCAAAAGAATTGTTAAAAAAATAATAAAATAAAATAAAGATACAAAGCTTGAGCTTGATGTATCAGAAAAATAAAATGAAGATACAAAGCTTGAGCTTGATGTATCAAAAAATAATTTAAAGATAATATCATGAACTTAAATAAATTTATATATTAATTTAAAAAAAATAAGATTATTTGTTTTTTTAAAATAAATTGTTTTTTTTTTATAGCCTTATTGGCATAATTATCTCAGAACACTGTGTAGTGACAGTGTTAGTTTTCCACCAGCCTTTTCTGACATTGGGAGTCTTCTATATTTGTAAGACCTCTTCACATTTAAGTTCTCTAGGCTGGGTACTGATATTTTACTTTTAAAATCTGAATATAGTATTAATCAACTGGAATCTCACCAGAAGTGTCTTAAACATTTAGAATCTTACAGGAAGTGTCTTGATACAGGGAATCTTTATTTTTTTATTAGTACATCATCTGATCTTCACAATCATGATCCTGGCACAGTTCAGAATTTCAGAATCATCAGAATTATCTTCATTACTCATTTTACTATTGCTTGTTATAATAGACATAGATTGAGAAGGTGATGAAGCTATTTCTGAAAAAATATGATATTTTAATAAATATATATATACAGTATATATATATATATGGGTCTTTGCCTTGAAAATAACCTTACGGTACATGATACCATAATTGTTAGATTCATTGTTATATCTGTTGTTGTATCTACTGATTTTTTTTTATTTTTGATAGGATTCAGCTTTAGCAAAATATTATTGCATTGACTACAAAGAGAAAAATTGAAGGCTTTCTTCAAATTTATTTGAAAATTATGTTCTTGAACTATTTTATGAATATATCAAACTTTGTAACCATCCAAATAGGTCCAAAACGGTGTGTGTACACATGTTTAGCCTCAGCAGATCTATTTTTTTTATTTGAAACCAAAGATTTTTACAGCTGTAAGTATAGTAGCACATCCAAAACATGTTACACAATTATATACCATATATCAGACACGAAATATAATTGAATATCCGATGATAGATTGTTCATAGACGGCATGTAGAAAGCTAACTGTACATTGAAAGCCCGATGACAGGTTTTCTATTGACAGCACTCATTTTGGATTCCCGATTCTATTTTCAGATTTTCAAATAGTACGTGGTGTGTACTGCATAAAGGAGCGATAAATTATAACAATGTATTAAATTTACTGCATGTTGTAACTTATTTTTGTAATATATAAAATCTATAACTATGTAACTCAACTATTCATATTTATATTCTTACAATAATAAATAAGAATTGAAATTCATTTGCCTGTCAAACTTATTCGAATTTAACTTATCGAAATATAAGCAATCACTTAATAAAAATTTATTGTAATTTATCAAAATTATTTTTTGAATGTCAACTGGAAACATGTGCCATAATTTTTATACATTTAATTTTTACCTTTACTAGCCGCTATTTTACAGTTCTCGTTATTCGCTGAAATATTATATTAGAATGGTTTGTCAACCAAGTAATTCAAAGTTATATTTGGCTACTAAAGATTTAAGCTTATAAAAGGCTTTTATTAATGACATATAGATTTGTATCTATTTCAAATATTTTCACCGTGGCTTTACTTGACTCGTTAAACGAATTAGGCTGATAATCATGTAAAAGATGTCCAAGTTGAATTAATTAGAAACATTAATAAATCAAAAAAAAATTTTATTGAAGGTCGATTTTAATTTTAAACAAAAAATTTGGAAGCTACAGCAGTGTGGTATTACTTGGATCGTTAAGGCGTTAATAATCAAAAAAGAATATTTTATGATTGACTCTTATTTCTAAGCAAAAAAGTTTGAATATTTATTATTGTTCAAAGTTTTGGTTTAACCGCCAGAAAACTTGTTCGTGTTACAAAAGAAAATTACTAGGTAGCATTGAATTTACGTGCTTAATTTCATTAAACGTCTCGCACGTGTTCTGTTGGCTATTGGTCTAAAATGCACAATTCATTCGATAAACACACTATAATAAGGAAAATAAAAATAACCCTGAAATTCACATATGCACTCGAAAAATTTTTGTGATTTACAAATAAAGTTTATATTTAAAAAATTCTCAGTTCGAAAAAGAATATACAAGATTGAAGAATAATAAAGTCATCATTTACATAAATTTGATAAAATAAAAAAAAAAAAAAGATGAAAAAAAGAAAAATCCAAATAACACTAATGTCATGAATATATAAATAAACTAAATGGCCATTTAATTAAAAACTAAATTAAAAGAAAGTTGATAGGGACCAGCCCTTTATAAATTCTAAATCCTAACAGATTGTTCGTATCTAATATCTAACATATATATTATTGAAAGATGATAAGATATTTTGGAATCACGGCCTGGTTTAAAAATAAGAAGTTTTGTTAGAATGGAAGTAAAAACTATACAAAAATTATAAAATACGTACCGCCTCAGTATTAAGAGTATAAACCGGCCCAGGCATGCTAGAAATGATATCGACAACAAACATGGTTTTTTCCGAAGTATTATAGCGAGTATGTCCATTATTGCAATAGTAAAGTGAAACAGACGAATTGTTTGCAAACCATAATACTGATATAAGAAATAGAGCTAATTAATATTGAGCAAACATACGAAAATGTATATATGTCTAATTACTCACGTTTATCACCGGAGAATTGAATTTTGTTTCCGTTTTGTGCAATGCCACATGCACCACAACCAGATCTACAAAATGCAGCTTTTGGATTTGTAATGAAACGTTTAGGACCGCAAACAGATTTAGTTCCATGAAATCCTCTAATATTTGCCATTGTTGGATTGTTTCTTCTGTATTGTTCATGAGCTTCTACGAGATTAGTTGGGATGTTTAATTTAAATATTCCCAAAATAGTATTATTGGGAAGTCCCACACGGAAGGAATTAAGAACATCAATATATTCTGAATCAGTTGGGTTTAATAACTTCATTTCGGTCTTATAAATCACTGGATCAGAGGTTGGTTTGCTAGGTGGAGGAAGAACTGTCTGATTAACAGACACAGGAGGAGGAGATGGTGTCTGATTAACAACTACAAGAGGTGAAGATGATGTCTTATTAATAGTCACAGGCGGAGACGCAGTCTTATTAACGGTTACGGGAGGATATGCTGGAGTCTGATTACCAGTCACGGAAGGTGGTGATAAAGTCTGATTAACAGTTACAGGAGGTTGAGGAGTCTGATTAACAGTCACAGGAGGTGGTGGAGGAGTCTGATTAACAGTAACAGAAGGTTGAGAAGGAGTCTGATTAACGTTCACAGAAGGCGGAGGAGGAGTCTGATTAACGTTCACAGAAGGCGGAGTAGGAGTCTGATTAACGGTTAGATAAGGATATTGGACGCAAGCTGTACAATAAATATCCTTTCGTCCGGAACAACGATTAGGACATCCTTGTCTTTGACAATGAGGCTTCTTTTTTTTAACAATTTTTTTAATGCCACGATAGACTTTTAAAACTAAATGATCTTTAGCGTATTGATTTTTCATGGTATTCGTTTGTTCTTCTAATTTGCAAAAAAAAGTATGTAATGTATTGAAATCAGTACTAACTAGAATAATTAGGATTTAGAAGTGAATTGTTTCTCTAATTTTCGAAAGCTGCTATGTATTTAAAAGTATTCATCACGGAATTTAATTTCCGAGTGGTTTGATTTTTTTTTTTAAAGATCTTTCTTTTTTTTGTATGCATGTTCGAGAATAAGCAATATAATAAATAACATCTGTACTCACGTTCGTTGGTCATTACTGCTTTGATATTGGGTATATAAACAATTTACTTATTTAGGATATTAAACAATAAAGATTACAGTATTAAAGAATTCTCACGAACAGATTTTCCGTGAAATTGAGATGTAAGACATACATCGATTATCGAATGTTCTTTATGTGGTGATGAGCACTCGGAAAATTCCGTAAAGTCGTTCATAGTTAATTTAGCTATAATTGAAAAATCGGCTAAAAATAATTACATCACATAACGGTAGACTCCGATCTTTGTATTAGAAATTAACTAATGCAATAATAAAGGATGTAGTATCATTATTCTTCTTGTTTAAGACAATTATTTAATGATTCATTTATTATCTCAACTATCTTGTAATATTAAAGATGAAAATCTTGTAATATTAAAGATGAAAATCTTGTATATGTTAATAAACAGAGTGTCTTATGCATGATTAGAAAATTTATATCAACGATGTTATTGTTGCAACA